TCTTGCTCTTATCCCCCATGCTGGAGTGCAGTGACATAATGTTGGTCACTGGTACCTCTGCCTCTCAGGTTCAAGCGATTTTCCTGTCTCAACCTCCCAAGTAGTTGGGATTGCAGGCACTTGCCACCACGCCTGGCTAATTTTTGTATTTTTAGTGGAGACGGGGTTTCACCAAGTTGGCCAGGCTGGTCTTGAACTCCTGATCTCAGGTCATCTGGCTGCCTCAGCCTCTCAAAGTGCTAGGATTACAGGTGTCAGCCACCTCTCCCGGCCCTCATTTTAATTTGATTACCTTTGTGAAGACCCTATTTCTAAATAAGGTCACATTCTGAGGTTCTTGTGGTTAGGGCTTTAATATATCTTTTTTGGGGTACCCAGTTCAACCCATGACAGATTCTGAATAGCCCCTCAAAAATTGAAAAATAAAGAATAAAGCTAGAGGACCCACATCTCTCTTTTTGCTTTTTTATTTTATTTTTTTGAGTGAACCAAGGATTTTATTTATTTATTTATTTACATTTCTCAATCTAAAAATTTACATCAGTTAAGACAGTGTGGCACTTGAATATAGATTCGCAGAGTTGGATATAGATTCACGGAGTATGATTGTTAGTCTAAAAATAAGCCCTTACCTTTATGGTCAATTGGTTTTGACAAGGACACCAAGATAATTAAATGATGAAAGAATTTGTTTCCCCCACAAATGGCCTGGAACAGCTGCATATTTGCATGCAAAAGAGTGAAGTTTAACTCTTACCTCACACCATCTACAAAAATTGTCTCAAAGTTGATTAAAGACCTAAATACTAGATCTAAAATTATACAGCTCCTAAGAGAAAACATAGGAGTAAGTTTTCATGACCTGGGATAGGCAATGTCATCTTAAATATGGTACCAAGCGCACAAGCAACAAAATAAAAAAGTGGATACATTGAACATCATAAAAATAAAAACCATTTGTGCTTCAAAATACCATCAAGAAAGAGAAAACACTGAAAGGGAAAAATACTTACAAATTACGTCTGATAAAGGACTTGTATCTAGAATACAAAAAAAACTCTTACAGTTCAATAATAAAAAGCCCAATTAAGAATTTGGTACATGTTCTGAATAGACAGAAACCATGTATATCTACTTTTAGAAGGAAGATATAAATAATGGTCGATAAGTGCATGTATCAGTCCATTTTCACACTGCTGTAAAGAACTGCCTGAGCCTGGGTAATTTATGAAGACAAGAGGTTTAATTGACTCATAGTTCCATAGGAAGCATGGGTGGGAGGTCTCAGGAGACTTAAAATCTTGTTGGAAGGTGAGAGGGGAAGCAAGCATGTCTTACCATGGTGGAGCAGGAGAGAGAGAGAGAGAGAGAGAATGAGAATATCAAACAACTGGATCTCTTGAGAACTCACTATCACAAGAACAGTAAGGGGGAAGTCTGTCCCTTCCCCATGATTCAGTTACCTCCCACATGGGGATTACAATTTAAAATGACATTTGGTTGGTGACACAGAGCCAAACCATATCAGTGCATGAAAAGATGCTCAATATCATTAGTCATCATGGGAATAAAAATCAAAACCACAAGATACCACTTCAGACTAGGATGGCTACAGTAAAAAAGTCTGTTTATAACCAGTGTTTTTTAGGATATGAAGAAATTGGAACCCTCATACACTCCTTTGGGAATGTAAAATGGTGCTGCTTTGGAAAACAATCTGGTAGTTCTCCAAATGCACATACATTACTATATAATGTAGCAATTCCATGCCTAGGTATATATACCCATATGTTCATACATACACGTGTTCATAGCATTATTATTAATAGCTCAAAGAAGAAACAACCCAAACATCTATCAGTTGATGAATGGAGACATCAAATATGGTATTTCCATAAATGAAATATTACTGAGGAATCAAAAGAAGTGAACCAAAGCATACTACAACATGGACGAACCTGGAAAACATTCTAAGTCAAGCCAATTGCAAAAGACCATGTATTATACAATTCCACCTATATAAATATCCAGAATAGGCAAATCTGTAGACAGAAAGCAAATTACTGTTTCCTTAGGGCTAGAATGGAAGGATTGGGGAATGACACCTAAGAAGTACAGAGTTTCTTTTTGGGTTTGATTGGGGTGATGGTTGCACAAGCCTGTGAAAGTACTAAAAATTGGTAAGTGTGTATTTTAGGTGGATGAATTATGTGTTATGTGAATTATAACTTAATGAAGCTACTTTAAAAAGTACATTCAATTATTGGCCAGGTGCAGTGGCTCACGCTTGTAATCCTAGCACTTTGGGAGGCCAAGGTGGGTGGATCACAAGACCAGCCTGGCTAACATGGCAAAACCCCATCTCTACTAAAAATACAGAAAAATTTGCTGGATGGGGTGGTAGTCGCCTGTAATCCCAGCTATTCAGGAGGCTGAGGTCGGAGAATTGCTAGAACCCTGGGGGCGGAGGTTGCAGCAAGCTGAGATCGCACCATTGCACTCCAGCCTGGGCAATAGAGTGAGACTCTGTCTCCAAGAAAAAAAAAAAAGTACATTCAGTTATTACAAGGATAAGGGACACTGTGTTTTAGGGAAACATACATATTTGAATATTCAACTAACATGAGATGTTATAAAGTAGAAATATATATGCTACCAAATGGTTGGTGTAGATCAGTGCTGTTCAGAAAGTATATTGCAAGCCACATATATAATTACATTTTTCTAATAGCCACATTTTTATTTTTTAGAGAAGGGGTTTCACTATTTTGCCCAGGCTGGACTTGAACTTTTGGGCTCCAGCAATCCTCCTGCCTCAGTCTTCTGAGTAGCTGAGACTACAGGAACATGCCACTGCTCCCGGCTTCTAATAGCCACTTTTTAAAGACTTAAAAGAAATAGACAAAATTAGTTTTAATATATTTCATTTATCCCGATATATAAAAATACTAACATTTCAATATGTAGTCCTTATAAGAATTGTTACTGAGATATTTTACATCCTTTAAGAAAAACTAAGTCCTTATAATCTGTTATGTATTTCAGAATGTTTCGATTCAAACTTGCCACTTTCAAGTGTTCAGTAGCCTTGTGTAGCGACTAGTGTATTGGACAACACAAGTAGAGACATTAAGTGTGAATCCGGAGGAAGGAGTAATCATTGTAGTCTGGAATGATTAGGAAAAGTCACAGAACTTGAGTTATTTTGCTCGTTCATTCATTCATTTACTGATTTCAGTAATTTACCCAACAAATATTTGAGCTGTATATAAAAAAACTGTGTATAAAAAACTAGCGAAAATGCAGATATGTCTTATCTCCTCATGGACAGTGCTTTAAAGCTAATTATACACTTACTTGGCGCTGGTTGTTTAAGAATTAGTAATGGAAAGAGTATAGGCTTAGATTATTCCCTGAGAAACAGAGGATGATGATAACTGCATTGTGGGATTGGCCGGAGTAAGTAAAATCCATAGGTCACATGCCTAACACTGTGCTTGTTTTAAGTGTTTTATCCTTCTCTTCTCCTAACTCTGTCCCCCTGCCTCCTTGTTGAATACATGAAATGGGCCATGGGAAAAAGTCTTAGGAAGTGGCAGAGTCCTGGCTACATAAGGACTTGAATGAATTCTTATCCTCCTTTCTTATCCTCAGCCTTCTTTCATTACATGGCCCTGCTTCCTGGACCCAGGTTCAGGTTTGTATTATTAGTATTAAAACCTATTAACCAATATTAAAGGAGTTTTGGCGGGCTAATTTAGGAATGTAATTAATGCTTTTTCTAGAGATTTTTATCTGTGTTTCATTCCACACAACTGTTTTATTAAGGATAATTTGAAATGCCCTCTGCTAAATTATTTACTGTTTGCCTCTTACTCAGGTAAGAATGTATTTTAGACATATTTCAAGAAGTGTTGAAATAAAAATTATTTTATAACTTTTTTGAAATTCTAGACCTACCATTAAATACTTAGCACTTTGGTCCATGTAATTTTTACATTGTAAGATATCTTGGAATTTTAACATACCCTTTTACAATAAGACTTGTTAGGTCTAGTTACATTATGTTTGATACAATAATAGATTAGTTTGTTAGGAACCGCTATTATAATGTATTGAACAGAGTTTGTTAGGAAGAGTTATAGTGTATTGAACACTGGATTTAGATTGGGCAGATCTTGATTTTCCATTTGATAGCTCTATTTTGTTCACTGATTTTCTTATTCATTCAGAAGATATAGTTTGACTAATATGGTCAGGACGTTATTTGTGTGTTTGTTTACAAACTGTGATTAAGTGCTTTGAAGGAAAAGAACTGGTTACTGTGAAAATAATAACAGGTGAAAACTTTAGATTGGATTGTCCTAGAGAAGGCATCCCTGAAGAAGCTATGTTTAAGCTGAGACATAAAGGATCAAAAGGAAAGGATTAGGGATGGGGTGGTAAAAGAACATTGTAAGGAAAGGGAACATCATGTGAAAAATCTTGAGGTGGCAAAATGCTTTGTGTATTCAGTAAATTGAAAGAAGCCTAGTGTGACTGAAGGATTGTGAGCAAGGGAAGAATGGCATAGTATAAGAATGAAACTAGATCTTGCAGGGTCTTGTAGAAGATGCTGAAGCTTTTAAGGTGTTTTAATCAGGGGAATGAGACACAAGTGTAACTCCAGAGTGGGATGTTGAATACAGGAGTCTGTAAAGGTTGAAAGAGTAGTCTGGTTTACAGAATTACATTTGAGAATCAATAGCTCTCAAATGGTAAAATTTGGATAAATACCATGTGTATAAATATCTGGGAATGCATAAAATAATCTGGGGAGAGTATGGAGACAGAAGATACAAGAGAAAGGGAGCGTAGGACCAAGCCTAGAAGAATCCAACATTTAGAAGCTGATAGGGAAGGAACTAGCATAGGAAGACCTCAAGTGAGCAGAGTTTTTTTTGGATGACTGAGGAAAGAAATGCAATTGGGAGCAAGGAGGATGTGATTTTTTTTTTTCCAACTAGATATAAACCTTTATTTTACAACTTTGTCATAGTTCACTTTCCAAAAAGACACAGGCTGGGGGACACAACTGAAAACCCTGGGAGGCCAGATGCTGGTGTCGTCCAAGTGGGAGCACAGCCATGGTCATTCTAGGGCTGATGTACTCCTGTGGCTCTCAGATGTCGTGGACCAGATGTACCAGTACTGTCCAATCCTAGTTTTACCTAGAGCCACCTCCTTTTTTGGACTATTCGTTCTCATTTCATGCCAGATTTTCACTAGAGGCTCCCTGTTCTTCCAAAACAGTTTATGATGTAAAGTAACATACTGTATTCCAAAGAGAGCTCCCCCAAGATGTGCTGCATGATTAAAGAATTTCTATCCCAGGATCATTCCTACTGTATCCATGGCGATAGTACCTTTTAGGGCATTCCCTGCTGGGAATATGAACATCTGAAGGGAAATAATGGCAAGCCTCCCTTCTGGGATCTTAGTGCAGACAGCTGCAAGGACCGTCATGATGGTGCCAGATGCATCAAGTGATGGTCCATATCTTCCTGTGGCAACTTTACACACATAATTGACACATTTGGAAATAACACCTGCAGATAGGTACACTGCCATGGACTACTCTTGACCCAGAATGTTCACTGTGTCAGAGAAGGAACTCCACAAAACATACATATTCGGTGCCATGTGAAATAAGGAGAAATGACTGAATATTGACAGCACCGTTGGAGAACAAAGGACTTCTGAGGCTGGATTAGATGCGAAATATCTGATCATTGTCCACTGTAGAGAAGGTGCTCCTATAAACAGAATACAAAGACATTCATTTGCAGCTGTGATAACCTGTCTTAGTCTGCTGGCCATCACTTAGGTTATTCCACCACTTGTTTATCTCCTTTCTGAAGTCTCCTTTTTGTGGTCTTACGCTGTCCAACCAGTCAACTTGTATATCATCAAAATAACTCTAGACCCTGGATTTCAGTGATTCGTATTGCCAAATAGATCCAAACAGCCTGTAAACCCAACAGTAAAAAATAAAGGTTTTATGAGAGTCCCTGTAGGATACAGAGAAAGGTAACAGACTGTTTCTTTCCTGGAAAGCAAAGCACTGGATCAAAGAATAGGGCTTCATTTTTGTTGCTCCTGCGCCCCCCTCCTCCCCCCCCGAGTCTTGGTTCTGTCACCCAGGCTGGAGTGCTGTGGCGCAATCTTGGCTCACCGCAACCTCCGCCTCCTGGGTTCAAGTGATTCTCCTGCCTCAGCCTCCCAAGTAGCTGGGATTATAGACATGCACCACCACGTCTGGCTAAAAGGAATCAACGCACTTGTGTTGTATGCTTCACCACTTGTGCCTGTGTCTGATGTTCGAGGCTCAGCCTTCCTGGGTGCTTTTCTGAATCCACATTTTTGCCGAATAAAGATTTTAAACCTGTGTCTGAGCAGCCATAGCGGGGCTAGGGCCACAGTGAGCTGTTAGCTGTGACCGTCTACTGGCAGAGCCTACGCCTGGTCGCTTCCCAAACCTCTCTGCCCAGCCTCACCACACCATCTTCCCAACCTCTGCCCCACCATGGCTTGCAAGGACATGTTTTTGAGATGTCTGGAGGGACTGAATAATATCAGCCTCTGTGGGATTTATGAAAGTATCATATTTGGGGGAGTTACGTTGTCCATAAGGCCAGAAAGTGGAGTTTGCTGATTACAGAAGAGGTAGAGTTGAGGAGTTGATTCATATGAGAGGGATGTGTGGAGTGTAGGGAGATGAGAGTTAACAGCAAATGAGAAAGGCTAGTGTTTCTGGTGGAGACTTAGGTAAACAAGGATATGAGGTGTTGATAGATTTAGTCCTTTTAATCTCTTGTAGACTAGAGGGATCTATGGCCTTAGTGGCATAGTCTGGAAGGTTTCAAATAGTTTATTGGGTAAGGCACAAGTTTTGCATGAGGTAAATCTGCTTTAAGCAGGCTCTAATTATGGTATGATGAGGTTCCAGGTTGGCCTCTTCATTTCTCTTATCTATTAAATAATAACAATACCTCATTAATTGTTTTATTATTTAAATGCACAGTCACATAGTGGTTCATAAAAGTTGAGTCTAGATAAACATACAACCTTTAAGAAAATCTTTTAAACCTACATCCCAGTAAGTCATGCTCTAGCCAAGTTATTTTCTTGTCAAACTCTTTTCTGTACTGAATGTAACAATGCCTAATTGAAGAATAAACATTGACTATGAATGAGGCACTCAATTCATCTCTTTGCTGATTATACTCAATTTTGGAACTAAGGATAAATTATTCAAGATAAAGTTGCTGATTTTTTAGTTCGAACAGTTCTGTAAGTATACTTGGATTTTTTTTTTTAGAACCCAGTGACAGTAATACTTCTTTGGAAAGAATATCTTTGAATATCTTTTTAGAACTTCAAGCAAATTTATCTTAACATTTTATATACTCAGTGTGGATAATTTGGAAATTACGGAGAGAGACAAAAAAAAGAATAAAAATTTGCTTGTATTCTCACTATCCAGAGAAAATTCCTGCTTACTTTTTGGTGTGTTTGTGTAGCATTTGTTTTCAAAATTGGGATCACAGAATATATAGCAATTTGTAGCTATGCACTCTGCTTTTTCATGTAATCTTGTGTCATGAATATTTTCTTAGACCATCAAATATTCTTGGAAAATGTAATTTTAATGGCTGCTTAATATTCTCTTGATTGTGAATGTATGATAGTTTACCTAATGATTCTCTACTATTGGACGTCTGGATTGGCTCTGATTTATTGATGTGGTAAATAGTGGTTTAATGAATATCTATGTAAATCAATTATTTTGTTTCAGTTTCTTTTTACTTTCTTTTGCCATATTCCTAGAAAGGGAAGTACTGGGTCAAAGCATAGGGCTTCATTTTTGTTTCTCCTGCTGCCTTTTTTTCTTCCCTCAAGACAGAGTCTTGCTGTTGTCCAGGCTGGAGTGCTGTGGTGCAATCTTGGCTCACTGCGACCTCCGCCTCCTGGGTTCAAGTGATTCTCCTGCCTCAGTCTTCCGAGTAGCTGGGATTACAGATGCGTACCACCATGCCCACTAATTTTTTTGTATTTTTAATAGAGATGGGGGCTTTACCATGTTGGTCACAGTGGTCTTGACTCCTGACCTCAAGTGATGCACCTGCCTCGGCCTCCCAAAGTGCTTGGATTACAGGTGTGAGCTACTGCGCCTGGCCACTTCTGCTGCTTTTTATTTTTTAAGACAGAGTCTCACCCTGTCATCCTGGCTGGAGTGCAATGGCATGGTCTTGGCTCCCTGCAACCTCCGCTTCCTGGGTTCAATTGATTCTTTTACCTCAGCCTACCAGGTACCTGGGATTACAGGCATGTGCCACCATGCCTGGCTAATTTTTTGTCCTGCTGCTTTTAAGGAAAAATATACTTCAAGATTTCATGTTTGAAAATCAAAGTGGATCCTCTTAATCTGACTATCGCCCATTATAGTTTCAGAGCTTAAAGAGGTCGAAATTTTATATTCAGTCCTTTCAGTTTACAGATAAGGAAACTAAGTCCTAAAAAAGGACATGCCTTGATTTCCTCAAGGTCATAAGCCAAACAGTGGTAGAAGTTTGGCCTATTTTTTCATAATTTAATGTGTTGTTTTTTCTACAAACATCACCTGCCTCTTTGCCCCGTGTGTCCCCCAACTTGCCTTTTAGGTTGACTGATTTTTGGGCGACTAATTTTTTTCTGTTTGGATGCCTGGTAGACTCTTTTTTATCCTTGAGTTTAACCATGATACTTTGATAATTTTGAGTCTGTTCTTTCTGGCATACATTGTACCTTTTTTGTCCTGCTCTCAGTTTCAAGGAAAATTTCAAAGAAATTTTCTATTCATGTGTGGCATCTACTTTTGGAATAATAATTATTCAATGTTGGATCATCTTTGTTCTTCACATTTATCATTTTCTCCAGAATTAGTTTGATTTCTTAATTGATTCCCTCTGCATTCACTATTATGATTTCCTTTCCTCCCTGCCATTAATTTTTCACTGTATTTTTTTCTGTTCTTTGCTGTTTCTAGTTTATTTATTAGATCTCTGATGTTCTGTTGTGCTAAGAGCAAATTGAGAACTGTTGTAGGCTAAAAAACAGCCCTCCAGAAGATATCTGTCTTAGTCAACTTTGGCTGTTATCCTAAACAAAACAAATATTTGTCATATTTAAATAAACATGTATTTAAATGTATTAAATATATTTCTCATCATTCTGGAGGCTAGGAAGAGGAACTAGGATCATTTTGAATGATCCTGGCAAAATGCCAGCAGATCGAGTTTTTGATTAGGGCCCTCTTCCTGCTTATAGGTGGTTGCCTGCTTACTGTATCCTCACTTGATGGAGAGAGGATGCTCTGGTGTCTGATCTCTTCTTCTTAGGCTTCACCCTCATGATCTCATCTAAACTTAATTAGCTGCCAAAGGCCCTACCTCCTAATACCATCGCATTGGGACTGACGGCTTCAAACTGTGAATTTTGGGGGGACATAAACATTCAGTCTGTAACAACATCTCTGTTAAGTTTCTGCAGCCTGTGAGTGTTACCTTATTTGGAAAAAGAGTTTTTGCAGATTGCAATTAAATAAAGGATCTTGAAATGAGATCACCCTAGGTTATCTGAATGGGACTTAAATCCAGTGATAGCTGTTACTGTAAGAGATATTCAGAAGAAAAGAGATACCTAGAGGAGGAGAGATTTGACCACAGAGGCAGAGATTGGAATGATAAGACACAAGGGCACCAGTCAAGTAGTACTGCCAGCTACCAGAAGTTGAGAAGAGGCAAGGAATGAATTCTCTCCTAGAGCCTCCAGGGGGAGTACAGCCCTTTTGACTCCTTAATTTTGGACTTCTAGTCCTTGGGACAGTAAGAGTAATTTTTATTGTTTTAAGCCACCTAGTTTGTGGTAATTTGTCATTGTAGCCACAATAAACTAAATACAAAGATCAAAACAATTTCCCTTTTCAGTCTGCCTTTTATCACCTTATATTTGTACTTTTGTTTTATTTCATGCTTTTACTTTCTTCTGTAGGACTTAAGAAGCATTTAGAATTTTTTTTTGTTTGTTTTTGCTTCTTAGAAGTTACAGTTCTTAGTTGGCTTTTTCATGTTTTTCTTGCAATGTGTTTTTGTTAGTTTTTTCAACTTTCTCGTGACTAAATTGGCTAGCTCTTTCTAGATTTTTTGTTTTGATATGTAATGTCTATCAGTGAATTCTCCCTGATTCTTATTGTATTTTGGACCTTTTTCTCTTCGGTGGATGTGGCTGTTTTTAATCCACTTTTCCGTAGCCTGAGGGATGTGGTAGTGAGGTAAGGAGAGAGGTCCACTAGTCAAGTGCAGTCGTTTCTAAAGATGTATTTCATCACCATATCAGGAGTGCACTCTACTAGGCTTCTGTTTCTTCCCTCAACTTAGTACACTAACCTGGAAGATGGTGGTCTTACAAGTAATGTATAGGGGACTTTTTTGGGTAGAAAATATTAAGTGTAAGAGACTTTTCCTTGTTTCCTCCTTCCTCTACCTTGCCACCCACCTCCATAGCTGCCTATGGCATTTTCATGGTCCGCTTTTACCATGCTGAGGAGTATCATAGATCCTCAGGAAAAAAACAGTCATCTTTTTTTTTGGTGGTATTACTGGAGCAGAAAGAGTAGTGATACTGATTCATTTCACTTTCTCAACCTAGATGATGAAATTTTAAATTAAAACAACATAGGTGTTTTATTTACACTGATCATTGTTTTCTAAAAATAGCATGGCAAGATGTCTGATTTTATAAATAATATGCTTAGAAGCTCTTCATTTCTCACTGACTTCAGTTTTTTATATCTAGTAGCTAAAATAGTTAAATTATTTATGTGACCTTACTGTAAAGCCAGTGTAGGGGAGGTGTTGGATCTTTTAAAATAACTATCTTTAAGTTGTGATTCATATGTACTGAGGCTATCAGACAAGGAGTAGTCGTTTAATTAAACTAAGTGGTATTGATATGGCCCACAAAGCTTCATAATACAGCGTCTGGCCTTCTCTCTGTTCTTCTTTTTCTCACTGTGCCTTAACATCACTGCCCCCTTATTTTGGAAGAGGCATGTATTTTTATTTTATTTTATTAAACAGTTTTATTGAGATACACACACACACACACACACACACTTCACTCATTTAAACTGTGCATTTCAATGATTTCTAAAATTCAATGATACTTCCAGAGTTATGCAACTATATCACCACAATCTAATTTTAGAACATTTTCATCATCTCCAAAAGAAGCTTTTATTTATTTCATCTTATTTTATTATCTTATCTTTTGGAGACAGAGTCTTGCTCTGTCATCCAGGCTCATTGCAATCTCTGCCTCCCGGGTTCAAGTGATTCTTATGCCTCAACCTCCCGAGTAGCTGGGATTATGGGTGCCTGCCACCATGCCCAGCTAAATTTTTGTGTTTTTATAGTACAGAAGGCCAGGCTGGTCTGAAACTCCTGGTCTCAAGTGATCCGCCCGCGGTGGTCTCCCAAAGTACTGGAATTACAGGAAGAAGC